CTCCTGGGTTCAGGCAATTCTCCTGCCTCAGCCTCCTGAGTAGCTGGGATTACAGGCATGCGCCACCATGCCCAGCTAATTTTATGTATTTTTAGTAGAGACGGGGTTTTACCATGTTGACCAGGATGGTCTCGATCTCTTGATCTACCTGCCTCGGCCTCCCAAAGTGCTGGGATTACAGGCTTGAGCCACCGCGCCCGGCCCAGAGACAGATTTTTACCATGTTGGCCAGGCTGGTCTTGAACTCCTGACCTCAGGTGATCCACCCAACTCAGCCTCCCAAAGTGCTGGGATTATAGGCACTTTGGGAGGCTGAGTTGGGTGAGACACTGCACCCTGCCTGCACCTTATTCTGGAAGGCTGAAACCTCTACTCTCCTGGTTCTCTCCTTTGTGCTGGTAGGAGGGGAGGCTGGGAGAAAATGGGAGAGGTCATCATGATCAGTTAAGAGACAATTGGAGGGAGATGATCCAACCCTGTGGTTCTGGACTCTGAAGTGGTCTTTACTGAAAACAGCAGAGATCCTAGGCTCAGACCTGTGGCAAAATAGCTTGGAATTTAGGAGTCTCAGATTTTTTTCAGATTCTCCCAGGCTGGAGTGCAGTGGTGTGATCTCAGCTCTCTGCAACCTCTGACTCTCGGGCTCAAGTGATCCTCCCACCTCAGCCTCTTGAGTACCTGGGACTACAGGTGAATGTTACCATACCTAGCTAATTTTGGTAGAGACAGGATTGATCTTCCTGTCTTGCCCAGGCTGGTCTTGAACTCCTGGGCCCAAGCAATCTGCCTGCTTCAGCCTTCCAAAATGCTGGGATTACAGGTGTGAGCCACTGCACCCGGCCTCGTATTTTTTGTAATAACTTTAAATCAAGATTGAAGGCCAGGCATGGTGGCTCATACCTGTAGTCCCAAAGTTGGATTTGATAGTAAAAACTTTGGGATTGTAATTTGTAATCCAAAATGTAGAATTTGGGCATGGGCTGATTTTTTTTTTTAATAGAGATGGGTTTTACCACGTTGCCCAGGCTGGTCTCGAACTCCTGGGCTCAAGCGATCTACCTGCCTTGGTCTCACAAAGTGCTGAGATTACAGATGTGCCTCACCTAACCTGGTTGTTGTTTTTTATGTCTCTTTTAATGCATAGGTTCTCTCTCTCATTTTTTTCCCTCTTCCAATAGATTTTATTGGAGAAAATGTATATTTTTGTACTGTACAACTTTCCAGTCTGCTCTTTGCTGATTTTATCCTGGAGGTGCTATGTAAGACACTCCTCTGTTTACTGACTTCTTGTAAATTGCCAGTTTCACCCAGAGGTCTGATTCGATTAAAGTTCAGTGTTTTTGCAGGGCCCCTTCTCAGGGAATGTTGTGAACGTTCACCCAGAGGTACATGGAATCTTCTTGTGTCAATCTCTTTTGGTGATGTTCTAAGCCATTCGTGATCACTGACTAATCCATTATTTCATTAGGAGTTGAAAATGGTAATATTGGAATTCTGTTATTCCTTTCTTCGTTTATGTATTTATTCTTTGTTCTCCCCCACACCCCACTCTCCTACCCTACTCGTTCCTTTTTTCAGTTACTAGGTGGATGGCTGTGTAAGAGAACTTGCTTCATCAACTATGAGGTTCACTTATGGTTTCTATAAGAAAGGCAGAATAAAGGATTTCTCTTTATTATCATTTTTCAAATTGTTGAGTTGGCTACCTGGGGTCCTCCACAAGTGACCAATTATTTACAACACCATTATGAAATCATGGATTGAAACATATTTGACATACTTCAGTTCACTATAGTCCATTATAGTTATTAGTCTTATGAATGCTCAAATTGTCCCATCTTTGGCAAGTGGGAGTATTTTCACCTCTTTTTGACACAAAGAGACTTTGATAGCTTTTTGAGTTTCTGATTTGACTAGATATCCAAGCACATCTTGTGCGTTTCCATTCCCAGTCTGAGAGCCAACCATGTCTTCAAGAAGATCTGATTCAGCTGAAGGGAAATGACAGAGCGCCAGGGACCCTCGTTGCTGCTGGGTTGGTCCTTGTTTCTAGGGTCTTTTAGTGGGAAGAAAATACAAACATATCTTAAAAATAAACTCATTCTCTGTTTACACTAATGCTTTCTTTATTTTTTACCAGCTCCAGAATCAAGGAAAATGTTTATACTAATACTTTCAATTCAAATAGAGGCTCTCAGTGTTTTTATATAACTTCATATGTAAAGGGCTCTTTACATTTCTTTTTCTGTGAAGTGAGTGTTTGTTCATGTTTTTAAATTGAGTTGTTCATGTCCAGTTTTTAAATTGAGGGTTTTTTTCCTTCTACTTTTATTATTATTATGTTTTAACACTTGCTATGGACTAGAGGATCCCTCTACTTTTAGACGCTCTTTATGTATTAGGGATCTTAACCATTTGTCTGTGATATGTTTGCCATTTGTCATTTTACTTTGCTTACAGTAATATTTTTTCCTTGCAAACTTCATATATCTTATATCTGTTTTTTTCTCTCAACAAAATATTCTAGTTTCCAAATCCACCAACGTTTGCTTTATCCCTCATTAATTACACACACTCTTAAAATAAAAACATCAATATTATCACCATTAATATGATAATGCTTTTCCATGAAAGGGCCATACAGGCAAAGTGGCCCCCAAAGGACAAAGGAGCTGAGAAACGAAAGAACAAGGTAAACAATTCCAGTTTGCTGCTAAAGCATGTTTTATTGGCGAACTTACAGATAGAAGCATGCCCATGGGCAGCTGCAAGACAGCTAGATCTTGCACTGTTACCCTCAGACCCAAGGCTTATATACCATAGGGAAAGAGTATACATGCTTAGTGCAAGACAAAGGCAACTGTCTGGAACAGGCTAGAATGCTATGTGCGTCACAGCCTATAATTTGTGTGATAACATCAAGGTTGATACATTCTTACACTAGGGACAGTAGTAAATAAGGTAGGAATCAGGAAGCATTCCTGGAACTGGGGCCAATCAGATATCAACATGGCTGGTTAGCATTCAAGATGGAGCCACTTGGGCCGGGCATGGTGGCTCAAGCCTGTAATCCCAGCACTTTGGGAGGCCGAGGCGGGTGGATCACGAGGTCAACAGATCGAGACCATCCTGGTCAACATGGTGAAACCCCATCTCTACTAAAAATACAAAAAATTAGCTGGGCATGGTGGCACGCGTCTGTAATCCCAGCTACTCGGGAGGCTGAGGCAGGAGAATTGCCCTAACCTAGGAGGTGGAGGTTGCGGTGAGCCGAGATCGTGCCATTGCACTCCAGCCTGGGTAACAAGAGCGAAACTCCGTCTCAAAAAAAAAAAAAAAAAAAATCTCAAGATGGAGCCACTTTTGTCTCCACAATAAAACTACTCTTTGAGTTTCTTTTTTGTTTTTCCTTAGGGAATATCTCACTAGGAATATATAATCAAATTGCAGTGGTCTAAAGTTGTTTGCGACAGCTTTTTCTCTGTAATTATATCACTAACTCACTGTGCAGATAGTCTTTTTTTATTTTTAGAAATTTAAACATATACATATATATATATACATTCTTAGATACAGAGTAGCATCCAGATTTCCCCACTTTTCTTTTTTTTCTTAAATGAACATTGAGATACAATTTACATACAGTTTGACTTTTGTTTACTTAACAATAGGTGCTGTCAATTAGTCCATGGCGCTATGTAGAGATATTCTTTGTTCTTTTTTGTTAATGCTCCATAGTACTTCATATTTAATTCAAGCAGCCCCTTGTTGTTAGATATTTGGGTTATTTCTAGTTTTTATTTATTTATTTTAAAAATTTGAAATAGAGATGTAGTTTCACCATGTTGCCCAGGCTGGTCTTGAACTCCTGGGTTCAAGCAATCAGCCTGCCTTGGCCTCTCAAAGTGCTAGGATTATAGGGGTAAGCTGCCTGGCCTATTTCTAGTCTTTTGCCATTACAAACAAGAGCTGCAATAAATAGCCTATGCAAATGCTTTTTCATATTTTTGCCAGTGGTATTTTGGAATAGTTTCCTAGAAGTGGTATTGCTGGAAATGCGTATGTAACTTTGCTAGACATAGCCAATCAAATTCCCTTCCATAGAGGCTGCCTCATTTTGCATTCCTAGTCACAATGTACTAGAATGCCTGTTTCCCTATAGCTTTGCCAACTAAGTGTATTGACAAATTTTTGGATTTTTGCTGATCTGATAGGTATAATATGCTACCTTGGGATAGTTGTTTTGTTTTTTGTTTTTGAGAAAGTGTCTTGCTCTTTTGCCCAGGCTGGAATGCTCCTTGAATTCCTGAGCTCAAGTGATCTTTCTGCCTCAGCCTTCCAAGTAGCTGGAACTACAGGCCTGTGCCACCATGCCTGGCTAATTTTTTTAACGGAGTCTCACATTGTTGCCTGCGCTGGAGTGCAGTGGCACAATCTCAGCTCACTGCAACCTCTGCCTCCCGGGTTCAAGTGATTTTCCTGCCTCGGCCTCCCAGGTAGCTGGGTTTACAGGCACCTGCCACCACACCTAACTAATTTTTTTGTCTTTTTAGTAGAGATGGGGTTTCACTATGTTGGCAAGACTAGTCTCAAACTCTTGACTTCATGATCTGCCCATGATTTGCCTCCCAAAGTGTTGGGATTACAGGTGTGAGCCGCCTGGCCTATTTTCACTTTTTTGGAGAGACAGGGTCTCACCATGTTGCCCAGGCTGGTCTTAAACTTTTGACCTCATGCTATCCTCCTGCCTTGGCCTCCCCTTAGTATGATTTTGACTTGTATTCTTTTTATCAGAAGCAAGGTTAAACATCTTTTTACATATTAAAGGGCCCTTGACATTTCTTTTTCTGTGACGTGTTTGTTTGTCTCTTATCCAGTTTTTAAATTGAGTTGGTTCTTTTTCTTCTACTTTTATCATTATTTTTTAACACTTGCTATGGACTAAGGGATCCCTCTACTTTTTTTTTTTGTCAAATAATCCTTTATTAGTATTTTCCTTTGTGCTTCTTAACTAGCTGAGCATTCCACAGCACCACTGTTGATGTCATCTATGATGTCATGAGGGTGGCGGCCATCAGCATCACAGCCCACAGACTGGGCAGTCCCCAGGATATCTTTAATGGTTCCAGAGAGTTCTCTGGCTAGCGATCGGTGCCGCGTCTGTCCAGCAATGTTGACGGTCTCATCAGAAGTGATGTTCCCACTGTGTCTAATGTTTTCTGTTTCGTCTCTTGGTGGTTCCTCGAGGGATTTGTTGATCAGGGCAGAGGCCGAAGGCACCACCTCAATCTGGTCCTGTCTGTTCTGAATGGTTACTTCCACTGCAATCCTCAGGCCCTTCCAGTCACCTGTTGCCTTGGCAATGTCATCACCAACCTTTTTTGGAGATAGACCCAGGTGGCTGATCTTGGGGGCCAGCACAGGCGTGCCACCGACTTCACCCTCAGTGCACCTCAGGTGTATGACTTTGATCTTGTTGGGGTTGAACTTCGGCGGCATGGTGGAGGCAGCTGGTGTCTGATGAACCCAGATTCGGGACAACGAAAGAAAGTTGCACTTTGGCCGCCTCCGAGCTGAAAGCTGAAAGCTGAAAGCCAAAAGCAGGATCCCTCTACTTTTAAAAGCTCTTTATAATACATAAAGAGGGATCTTAACCATTGGTCTGTGATATGTTTGCCATTTATCTTTTTACTTTGCTTATGGCAATATTTTTTCCTTGCAAAAGGTTTTGCTTTTACATTTGTATGTAGTTAAATGTATCACTCTTTCTCTTCAATTGCAGCTGAAGATTTAGCAATAGTTTCACGACTTTTCTACTCCCAGGCTGTAGAAGAATTTATTTATTTCCCTTTAATACTGTATTAAAAAAAAAAAAACAAAAAACAAGTCTCATATGGAATTTATCTTTTTGTATGTATGCTATGATAATGGATCCACTTTTATCTTTTTTCACATAGAGTCTCAAATTTGATATTACTGGCTCCTCTCTCCCACCCCCTCCCTTCAGATGGACTTTTCCTGGACATTTTATTATTTTCTTGGCCAAAGCTGGGTATGGATCAAAATAAACATCTGTTCAGCTCCCTGTGTTTCGTTCCATTTTGCTGTCTGTTTTTCTTTCCTGGACGCTTTGTGATTTCAGCACAGTGCTTTTCCAGCCATTCAGGGAGTTGTGACCTTTAGGGCTTGAGGAAGAGTGCATTAAAGGCCTGTTCGGAGAGTGAGTCAAGCTGGAATGGATCCTGCAGACGTCCAGGAAGGCCCAGCTCTGTTTGGGTCGCGGGCTTTGGAGAGCTGCCTCTCAGGAGCAGGATGGCTGCTCACCTGTGTGGAACACTCAGGAGTCCAGTTTTTTGTTTTCCGTTTTTTTTTTTTAAATTTTTTTTCCTAAAGATGGAGTCTCACTCTGTTGCCTGGGCTAGAGTGCAGTGGTGTGATCTTGGCTCACTGCAACCTCCGTCTCTTGGGTTCAAGAGATTCTCCTGCCTCAGCCTCCCCAGGAAATGGGATTACAGGAGTCTGCCACCACACCTGGCTAATTTACCTATTTTCAGTAGAGACGGTGTTTCACCATGTTGGCCAGGCTGATCTTGAACTCCTGACCTCAGGTGGTCTGTCCAGCAGCCTCCCAAAGTGCTGAGATTACAGGTGTGAGCCACGATGCCCAGCCTGGAGCCTGGTTTTTGTTGATGACCCATGTTTCCTGTTTCCATTCCTCCCCTGCTCTTGATTTCCATCAGAGCAGGAATTTCTACCTTTCTAACTGGAAAAGATTGGTGTCGGTGGGTGGAGAAGTGGGCAGAGGAAGGGAGGAGTAGAAGACAGACATTGAAACCTCTCTTCTTTTGCTCATGTAACTCCTAGCGCAGATCCATATCATTAATGCCAACTACCATTTGGTGGTTATTTTCTACTGTCAGGCACCACGTACTGTGCTAAGTACTTTACATGGAATAGATCATTCAATCCTGACCTGTTAGTTGGCTACGGTTATTACTTCCAGAAGGAAAAAGAGGCTCAGAGATAAGGTCACACAATTGGTAAGTAGTGGGATTTGGGTCTATGTGACATCAGATTCCAGGCTTGAAACCTCTAACCCACACACACACACACACACACACACACACACACGCTCATAACAGCCTGTATTTCTGTTTGCTTTTCCATCTAAAGACTAACCCTACTCCACTTCTGCTGAGCTCAGATGTGGGCAGCGTGATTGGCTCTGACTGCAGGCATCACCCTGGGCACTGGGAACCCGCGGCTGGAGAGAGGCTCCGACTTGCCCTCCATCTGTTCTGTTGCCAGCACAGTGCTTGGCATACATGGGTTCTCATCACATATCTCTTGGATAATTAGATGAGAAAGGAAGAGGAATGTGTGCTGGAGACAAAGGGGCAGGAGTGGAGGAGGCTCAGGGAAAGATACTAGATTTAGGAGAAAACAGTAGGATGTGAGGGTGCTGGGCAGGCAGCTGGAAGGCACCTATGTTGCCATGTGTTCAGAGGCACAGAGAAAGGGTGACTTCCAGGTCAAAACTGATTTTAGGCTGGGCGCGATGGCTCATGCCTGTAATCCCAGCACTTTGGGAGGCTGCTTGACGTATCACCTGAGGCCACGAGTTCCAGACCAGCCTGGCCAACATGGCAAAACCTCATCTCTACTAAAAACACAAAAATTAGCTGGTGTGGCGGTGGGTGCCTGTAATCCTAGCTACTCGGGAGGCTGAGGCAGGAGAACGCTTGAACCCAGGAGGTAGAGGTTGCAGTGAGCCAAGGTCGCACCACTGAACTCCAGCCTAGGCGGCAGGCAGAGCAAGATTCTGTCTCCCAATATATATATATTATATATAACAACAAAAAAAGTGATAGTAGTTTTTCCACAACTTGATCGCTGAGCAAGTGACCTAGACTGTGGTAATTTTCTGTTAACTGGTATCTGATCCAACTGAAAAGCAAAGCAAAACAAAAACCTGACTGCCTTCCATAAACAAGCCAGCGTGAAGGTATTCAGCTCACTCAGGTTGCAAAGGACAGAGAAGCACCCGAATTACCTCAGGGGATGGACTTTTCCTAAAGATACACAGGTGAGTAAGGAAAATAGGAAATGGCTTCTGTAGATCTCAAGAACTAGAGCACCATTCAGGATGCAATGGCCATGCACAGTGTGGCCTGGCGGGGAGGAGGGAACCGTTCTTCATCATCAAGAATACTGCTTTAGGCCTTGCGCTGTGGCTCACCTATAATTCCAGCACTTTGGGAGACTGAGATGGGTGGATCACCTGCAGTCAGGAGTTCAAGACTAGCCTGGCCAAAATGGTAAAATCCTGTTTCTACTAAAAATACAAAAGAAATTATTCGGGCATAGTGGTGCACACCTGTATTCCCACTTACTGAGGAGGCTGAGGCAGGGGAATCACTTGAACCCAGGAGGCGGAGGTTGCAGTGGGTCAAGATTGTGCCATTGCACTCCAGCCTGGGCGACAACAGCATAAACTCTGTCTCAAAAATAAAAATAAATTTAAAAAGAAAATACAGAAATTTGGCCAGACACGGTGGCTTATGACTGTAATCCCTGCACTTTGGGAGGCTGAGGTAGACGGGTCACTTGAGGTCAGGAGTTCTAGACCAGCCTGGCCAACATGGTGAAACCCTGTCTCCACTAAAAATACACAAAATTAGCCAGGCGTGGTGGCAGGTACCTGTAATCCCAGCTACTCAGGAGGCTGAGGGAGGAGAACTGCTGAGGGAGGTGGAGGTTGCAGTGAGCCAAGATCACACCACTGTACTCCAGGCTGGGTAACAGAGCAAGATTCCATCTGAAAAATAAATAAATACATACATAAAAATAAAAAGAATGCAACTCTTCTAATTCCCAGTCCCTCTGGCATTCTTGTATTTTTTTTTTTTTTTTGAGACGGAGTTTCGCTCTTGTTACCCAGGCTGGAGTGCAATGGCGTGATCTCGGCTCACCGCAACCTCCGCCTCCTGGGTTCAGGCAATTCTCCTGCCTCAGCCTCCCAAGTAGCCGGGATTACAGGCACGTGCCACCACGCCCAGCTAATTTTTTGTATTTTTAGTAGAGATGGGGTTTCACCATGTTGACCAGGATGGTCTCGATCTGTTGACCTCGTGATCCACTCGCCTCGGCCTCCCAAAGTGCTGGGATTACAGGCTTGAGCCACCATGCCTGGCCCATTCTTGTATTTTTTAATGTGTCCTTCGATTGCATGAAATTAAGGCAGACGCCAATCAAAGAAATGCCCATTGCTGAGACAATGAAGAGAAAGGGTGTCTCTTTTGAGCAGGGAGGTGGTGAGAAATTTCCAGAACAGGATGTCTTGCTTGGAGATCATTTTAAGAATGGTCATCTCTGGTATGGAATTCTACTTATCCCCTGTAGAATACTGGACTGGCCTACCCATGTTTCAAGCCTCCACCGAAGCTATGTTGACCCCTAGCCCAGTGTCAGCTGGTAAAAAAAAGGGAAGAGCTGAAGGAGCTGGACCTCCACAGGGAAGTGTTGAGAGGAAGGAGGAGCAAGAGGTGAAATTGACCAGGGAAATGGCAGCACTTCCTGAGCCAGGGCCCTGGACTTTCTGCAGGTGTAGAAAAGTGTGGGCCTGAGTTATTTAACTATCACAGAAAAATTGATGCTCTGTGTGTAGGAAAAACAACACTTAACGTGCTTTTTCTTTCTCTCTCACAACAATCATCAACACAGAAGCCTTCTGTGACCAAATGTGAGGAGTTTTGTCTCTGCACACCAGCCAAGCAATTAAGTCTGCAGCAGACACCCACTGGATGTCTTCCAATTCAATTCTGACACTGTCTACCTAGAGATAGCATCAGATCCCCCAGGTTGAGGCTCAGTCCCCAAGACTGCCCTCCTACACTGGTCACAGGTTTGGCCTTGGGAACCCCTGAACCACCGGCTTCAAGTTGGGATTCCCACAACCCTCTCTTTGGGTTCAATTAAATAAACACTTAACGTTTACTGGTTTATTACAAAGGCTAGAGATGAAGAGATGCATAGGGAGAAGGCGCATGGAGCTTCCATGCCCTCCCTGGGTGCAGCACCCTCTAGGAACCTCCATGTGTTCAGCTCTCCAGAAGCTCTCTGAACTCCGTCCTCTTGAGCGTTTAGGGAGACTTCACTACATAGGCATGACTCAAAGCATGGACAGCCATGTCAAAATGTGACTGGACAAAAAGGATATGATCTAATGCTAATAGAGTGGGAAATGCCAGCAAGTCCGGTCCAGATTCTTCTTGGCCTCTCTGTGCAGCCTTTTTTCCTCCAGGGTATGGGGCACCCTTTCTGAAATGGGAGTCTTATGACCTATAATCAGTCAAATAGATCAAAGACAGAAAGATGGGCAAAGATTCCTGCCTTGGAGAGATAAAGGAGCAGATGAAAGGAGGGCAGGAGGTCAGAGAGATTCTGTTTATTGAGGCCTGAAACACCCAACGTTGCAACAGACTGTAACGAGGGTGATGCGAGTTATAGGCCAG